CAGGCCAGGCAGCATCAGAGGAGCAGGATGCTGCCTGGCCTGCTGTGTTCCTCCAGCTCCACACCTTGTTATCTCAGGCTCCAGCACCCACAGTTCCTTCTATCGCTCTCAGATGCTAACTCTGTTTAGGGTAAATCTTCGCAATTTTCATTACATGGCGTCCAGCTGCCCTGCTCAGTCCCGTAGTCCTCTTTCCCCAGTCTCAATATCTTCGTAATTAATAAATGAAAGTTTTCAAAGGAAATGGGAAAAACATAATATTTTTGTTCATGCTCCTATTACATAGAATTCCTACAGTGTGGAGGCAGACCATTTGGTACTTGGTGTCCGCACTGAGGTCTCTGAAGAGCATCCTATCTAGACCTACCACATCTCTGTAATCCTGCATTTCCCATGGCCAATCCACCTAACCTGCACATCTTTGGACTATGGGAGAAAACCGGAGCACCTGGAGGAAACCCACAGAGACATGGAGAGAACGCGCAGACTCTACACAGACAGTTGCCCGAGGGTGGAATCGAACCTGGGTCCCTGTCACTGTGAGATATCAGTGCTAACCATTGAGCCACTGTGCTGCCCTCCTTTGCCTACATCTTCCTAAGTAGTTTCCTGAATATTAATCTTCAATTCCTGATCACTCCGGGACAAGAGTCTCTCCAACTTCAAGGACCAATCACTTTTCTCCTCCAGGAAAAACACTAAATCCACTACAATGACACGATGAAGGTTAATAATTTATTCTTATCATTTGGAAACTTGGATTCTGAGGCAGAGGGAAATGGGTTTTTGGTTTTAGTTCTGTGAAGGTAACCTTTTTTTTAAAAAAATAAGGCCAGAAAGTAAGTTTTTAATAGTGGAGATCAAAACAGCATTTCCAAGAAATCATATGACTTTAGTTAACCAAACAGCATTTATGGGAGATGAGTGTTAGCTGGCTGAGTGTTTTATAACCTAAAGATAAAGAGAGAGAGTGAGCGAGAGAGATAGAGAGACAGAGAGAGAGACGTTGTAAGTTGAGTAAAACACTTTAAAGTGAATTTCAGAGTGATATTTCACCGGTGTAAGAGAAATTGCTGGCAAGAAAAAGACTGAATCATTCTTTTTTGCTGCTTATGATAAGATCTTTCCGAATTGCATTTTTTTTTCTTTTTTCTGCGTGTGTAACTAAGTTTGATGTTTTTGTTAAAAGTACATTGGCAGACTCGAGAAGATGTTCAATGACTGACCACCAGGGTAAACAAATTGCAGAAATAAAAACCTTACAGTCAATCGAGCCACGTTTCACTCTGGAATTGGGAGCCGTTCACCATTAGCATCAGCTGAGATCAGAGCAACAATAACCACTATGTTAGTCAGCACTGCAACCAACATAGAACAGGATCCCTAAAACAGCACCAAATAAAAATACCAATTTCTCTGGCTCAAGGTGTATGTTGTGGGGGAAATGACAAATAGGACTTGGCGGGAGCTCCTTGCTGATCTTAAAAAAGGCCCATAGCACCTTCTTCAATCACCTGGAATAACCAGAGTTGGAGGACAAGGCTTCAGTTAACATCTGATTAGAAACAGCTAACAGTGCTGTACCCTTCCCTAGTTCCGCAGCGAAGAGTCAGTTTTGATTCCGTCCCTGGAGTGAGACTTGAACTTGAACCCACTGCTTTCTAATGCAGAGGAGATGGTCCACAAATGAACCAAACTGACCCTCATTTGCTTCATCTGCAGTTTTCCGTAAAACACTGCCTTTCGCTGTATGTGAGGGAATTCCTGGGTTCTGACCCAGCATCAAAGAAGGAACAGCAATATAGTTCACATCTTAAATACAATGAACAGTATTAGTCTCCTTATTTAGGGAAGGATGTACATACGTTGTAGGCGGTTGGGAGGAAATTGTATGGATTGATACTTGGAATGAGTGGATCGGACAGGCTGGGCTTGTTTCCAGTGGCATTGAGAAGAGTGAGGGGCAATCTGAATGAAATGTATATGATCCTGAATAGTCTTGTCAAGGAGGACAGAGAAAGCATGTTTCTGCTTGTGAGCCAATCCAGAAACAGTGAGCTCTGTTTAAAATTCCGAGGTCACCCCTTTCAGGGCAGAGATGAGGAGAAACGCTTTTTCCTCAGAGGTCTGTGCAACTGTGGCACATTGGATGGTCAAATATGTTTAAGAGAGGCAAATCCATTCTTGTTAGGCAGGGGTTTTGAGGGTTATCAGACATAGTTGGGGACGTGGAATTCAAAACACAAACAGCTCAGCAGAGTAGACTGAAAGGGCAAAATGATGTATTCTGCTGCTATTTCACAGGTTTTTATGTAGTTCAACCTCTTACACAGTGTGGACTGCTCAACAATAGAGGTTATCTGTGGAACTGGGCAAGGACCTAACATCTTCAGGAGCATTAAACAAGAGGAAACAAAACTGAACTGAAATTCTGAACTGTGTTTTCTTTATTTTACTGATTTATTACTACGATTTTGTACTTTTGGAGATTTGTAATGCTGGACTTTTTATTTATTTACTTTTCTGATTTACTTTCTCCCTAAGAATTTGTACTCCAGAATCTGTAGCTAGGTACCTTTGTATCTAAGATGGCACCATGTACGGCACTACTAGACACATTTCACTGTACTCCTGTACTTCAGTACACAGTGACAATAAAGCTAAATCTAAAGATGACGCTCTAAGTGGCGACTTGTAAACTTTTCACTGCACTCACGTGAGTATGTGACAATAAAGCTAATTCTATTTCAATTCAAAGCAATAAATAATTAATTCTTCATCACAAAAGATGAATAATTTAATCTGATTCACCGCTATTGAGGTGAACATTTAGAGGATATGATACAGTGGCAGTAAAACGACCCAGGATTTACAATCCCTTCCCCAGTGAGGCTTCCTCACTTCTCTCAGTGCCAGGATTACTCACCAGGGGGAGATCAGTCTTGTGTCGGCCTAGGATATCCGGCGTGCTCAGGGCAGCTCTCCATCGGTTCGAGCATCTGTGAGGGGTTTTGCCACTGCTCGGGGCGATCGGACTGGCTGAGGACGATCGAGGACAGAGAGGAACAGCTAGAAAGTTCATGGAAATAGAAGGAGAGAAAGTGGACGGCGCAGGAAGGGAGGGATGGGCGGCGAGGAGGGATCAGGGAGGGGATTCAGAGCAATGGGGGAGAGATAGAGAGGGGGTGATGGGGAGGCAGGAATTGGGTAATGTGGGGAACAGGGAGGGAGTCAAATGGGACAGGAGACAAAGTGGTGCAGGAAGTGAGGAGGCAATAAAATAAGATACAACAGAGTAGAAAAGAGGTCAAATATTATGAGAGAGAGGAAAAAGAGAAGAGAAAGAGGCAAAGACAGAGGGAGAAAAAATAGAGAGAATAGATGAAGCAAACACAAAGATAAGAGGAAAAACAGTGAGGCATAAAGAGGAAGAGTAAGGTAGTCGAGATGGAGACACAGTGAGGCAGAGCGCAAGAGATAGTCAGAAAGAAATAGTGGACACAAGGAGACAGACAGAGTCAGCAGGATAAGTAGACAGTCAGACAGGCAGATAGACAGATAGAGAGAGCGAGCGATGGAGTGGAGGAGAGAGAATAACGATTGGATAAAATGTTATTTTTCACTTTTTAACAGAAGTCTTTGACCAAAGTCCCTTACAAACCATACCATATAAAGCGTATCAGAACAATGGGTGAACAAACCTGTATCTCGGCCATTACCCGTTAAAACAGCAACACTCCTGCTCCTGGCGAGGAAGGACAGTGTTGGAGTCATCAGGCGGTCCACAATACTGCTCTCCCAGGGGCTCAGTGGCAAACGGCGAGCTGTAGGAAGACAAGACCAGTGTCAGCATTCAGAGCCTGGAACCAGGAGCAGGCAGAGGCAGGGGGAGGTAGCGGACGGCCCGGGGGAACTGTCAGACCTGCCAACTCCGAGCCAGGCTGCAGTGACTGTGGTAAAACACGGAAGGCAGCAGATCCAAAGAATGTCAGACAAACATGGAAACTAGCAGGGAAGGATGTGAAAGGGTGGAATTCAATCTCAGCACCTGTCATTTAGCTGGAGTTCCCCTTCCCCTGACCTTAAAGAGTTAAATCTAACAGCACCATGGAGGACGTGCAGCATATTGTACATGTGTCAAACCTTTAATATAGTTGTCCAATGGGTCCCATTCCCCTGTGCCAAATAGCTTTTCATTTTTTCCTAAACATTTAACCAAATTTCCATTTTAAGTAATTATTAGATCTGCTTTCACCATTACTTGGGCAAACCATTCTAGTTGCTGAGTGAAAGTGTTTAGCACATCTTTGGCTCTTTTACCAGAGATCTGAAATCTATCTCCTCTGATGAACGATCCTCCTGCCAGAGCTAAAATGGACTGTCAGCACGGGGCAGGGCTGGTGCCAAATCTGGCAATGGATCAAGGGGCAATGGCAGCTCCATTACAAACCAACATAACCGGTGCCTGCAGAGTGGCACAGTCAGTGTTTCCAGACATTGCTGAGGCAGGATCAGCAAGGAGGTCTGAGAGGATTAGTTCATTTGTCCTGATAGATTGCTCTGTCACCATCCCAGTGTCAGTGAGGGTGATCAGTTGTATTGATTAGGATCCCAGTGTTATGAGAAATATTGCTCACACTGATAGGATCCCAGTGTTAGAGAGGGTGATC